TAAAAAGATCCCAGAGATGAAAGACCAGTGAATTGTCGGAAAAAAAAAATTAAATTCTTAGAAGGCTTATTTAAGAATTCGAAGAAAGCAAACCAAAATTCGTGAAAACTACCCATGGCGGGGGGCGAGGAGACAATAACAGGGGAATAAACGCTAGGACTAAAAGACCATTACTGAAAATGGAGATTTAAAAATTAGCTTCTTAAGGTTACCTTGGAAACTAGAGACGTCAGCCTGGAGGAAATACTTTGAATAATAGAATAATGGAATAATAGAATAACAGAAATCAGTTACTGAAGGGACGAACTTTGAAGGTGCGATACAGTAGTGCTATATTGTATTTCAGGAAGTTCTAACCCCCTGTAGGTCACTCAGTGCAAGGTGCGAGGGAGGTTTCATCCTCTATTAGCTAATCAAGGCCCGGCCTTTGAGCAGTCAGGCTGTTGGTGATCGCCTTTAGCTCAGGATGGGAGAGTCTGTGGAAAAAGACACTTATGTACAGTTCAGGACATTTATTAAAGGAAACGTTTCGCCACGAGTGACTTCTTTAATAAAAGTCATGAAGTGTACATAAGTGTTGTTTTCCACAACTTGTCGGTGTCACCAGACCACTTCTCATGGCAGAGTCTGTCTAGTAACCGCCCCCCCCTCCTCGAGGATCACCGATGGGTTCTAGATTGTCTTTGGTGTAATTCAGTGACCTGATTACAGTTATTAACTCTCACTTGCCCTTGTTAACAGACAATGCCGAAATAATTCTGAGAGTGAAAACTTTAGAGAATAAGAGATGACTGAAGGAGCATTTGAAGGAGATTACTCAAGACACAAGGATGGTTTCTGGAATTTCTTACGAGCTGGAACGCAGTGAAAGGAGACAGATGACAGACTACCATATGCGTGAGAAAGTTTATGGAAGAATTTAAAGTGAAAAACCTTGGAACAACCGTACCTTGAAGAACACATTAACATTACAATATCTACCACAGACTGACAAACATGTGTAGCATTAAGAAAAAAGTGCCAAAAACTCATTAAAAAAAGTACTTTTGCATAAAATAAGGTAGAATCTGGGGGAAGGTTCGTGAAATTATTTATTTAGAAACAGTGAGAGAATTAAATCTTCCGTCGTTGGTTGGAACTTTACATCCCAGATGAGACACAACTTAAGAGGACTCGAACAGGGATACACATGACCAACGACAGTGGGAATGGACTCCATACACGGGTTTAGAACTGATGTCACGAGCCTGTTTTTCATATCAGTCTGCTGAAAGCATAGAGGCGGGGCCAAGAGCTAGAGTTCAACCCCTCGCAATAATAGGGGAAGCTACAAAGGCGTCTTCCGCTTTCAGTCTCTCAAACTGGTAGATCAACAGCAGATTTCAATAGCGAGGAGACGGGCAGTAAACCTGAAAGTCGCACACCAGCTGAGGGAAGATCCAACACAACGATACAGTACTGACTGCAGGCAAGAGAAATGAATATTATATGGAAGGAAAGAGAACACTGAGAGATAGATAAAGGGTTGGAGAGAGAGAGAGGGGGGAGGGTAAGAGGGCTACTTGAGGGGGGAATTGCCAAACTTACAGAGTGCCACAGTGGTCGGTGGCACAGTGGTCGGCGGCACAGTGGTCGGTGCCACAGTGGTCAGTGGCACAGTGGTCGGTGCCACAGTGGTCGGTGGCACAGTGGTCGGTGCCACAGTGGTCGGTGCCACAGTGGTCGGTGCCACAGTGGTCGGTGGCACTGTTTAATTTTCACCAGCATTACTTGGAATGTGATGAATGTCTCTAATTGGTCAGAGGCTCTCAGTGCCAGGCTAGACAAAGTGGCACCAGTGGTGACAACACAACACCAGTGGTGACAATACAACGCCAGTGGTGACAACATAACACCAGTGGTGACAACACAACACCAGTGGTGACAATACAGCACCAGTGGTGACAGCATAACACCAGTGGTGATAACACAACACCAGTGGTGACAACACGCCACCAGTGGTGACAACACAACACCAGTGGTGACAACATAACACCAGTGGTGACAACACAACACCAGTGGTGACAACACAACACCAGTGGTGACAACATAACACCAGTGGTGACAACATAACACCAGTAGTGACAACATAACACCAGTGGTGACAATACAACACCAGTGGTGACAACATAACACCAGTGGTGACAACACAACACCAGTGGTGACAACACACCACCAGTGGTGACAATACAACACCAGTGGTGACAACACAACACCAGTGGTGACAACACAACACCAGTGGTGACAACATAACACCAGTGGTGACACCATAACACAGTAGTAACAACATAACACCAGTGGTGACAATACAACACCAGTGGTGACAACACAACACCAGTGGTGACAACACAACACCAGTGGTGACAACACACCACCAGTGGTGACAACACACCACCAGTGGTGACACACCACCAGTGGTGACAACACAACACCAGTGGTGACAACACAACACCAGTGGTGACAACATAACACAGTAGTGACAACATAACACCAGTGGTGACAATACAACACCAGTGGTGACAACACAACACCAGTGGTGACAACACAACACCAGTGGTGACAACACACCACCATTGGTGACAACACACCACCAGTGGTGACAACACACCACCAGTGGTGACAAAACAACACCAGTGGTGACAACACAACACCAGTGGTGACAACATAACACCAGTGGTGACAACATAACACCAGTGGTGACAACATAACACCAGTGGTGATAATACAACACCATTAGTGACAACACAACACCAGTGGTAACAACACAACACCAGTGGTGACAACATAACACCAGTGGTGACAACATAACACCAGTGGTGACAACATAACACCAGTGGTGACAACATAACACCAGTGGTGACAACATAACACCAGTGGTGACAACATAACTCTTTCCCCATCATTCACTCCATCACTGTCTTATTAGAGGCGTGCCGGTACTACAGTTCAGATGCCCCTCCAAACTGTAAATATCTCCACCCCTCCTTCAGAGTGTAGGCACTGTACTTCCTACCTCCAGGACTCAAGTCCGGCTAACTGGTTTCCCTGAATCCCTTCATAAATGCTACCTTGCTCACACTCCAACAGCAAGTCAAGTCATAAACACCACTTGCTTCCTCTCACTCCTATTTAACACGCTTATGCAAGCTTGTTGGGTGTCCAAAAGTCCCTTACACACAAAATCCCCTTCACCCCCCCTCCCTCTAACCTTCCCGAGGGTGACCCCGACCCCTCCTTCCCTCCACTTCACGTTTATACACCCTCCAGGTCATCCTATTTTTGCTCTATAAATGTTCGACTAACCTCGACAACTCCACTTCAGACCTCTGGATACTTTTAGAAACCCTGCACCTCCTCCTACTCTCCAAACTACGAGTTCTCTGTGCAATATTTAAACCACACATTGCTCACATATACGACATCTCCGCTGCCTCCAACATTCTCCTTGTTGCAATATTCACCACCCATCCTTCACACCCACGTAAGAGTGCTGGTACCCTTACCATTATACTCTCATACATTTCCTTCTTTGCTTCCATGGATAATGTTCTTTATCTCCACTCACCTTTTTCCCTCGCCAGTTAAGGTTCACCTCATCTTTCATAGATCCATCTGTTGACAAGTCCACTCCTAAATATCTGAACACATTCACTTCCTCTATACTCCCTCAAATTTCATATCCAATCTTTCATTAACTAAACTTTTTCCTGTCCTCATCATCTTGTTCATCCACATGTTCGTTTAACTTCCTTCTTTTACGTACTCTTCCAAATTCGTCCACCATCCTTTGTAACCTCTCCCCGACACAATAACACTCAATTCTCTTACAATCCCATCTATAAATATGTTAAACAACCATGGTGACATCAGGCATCCCTGTCTAAGACCTACTTTAACTGGAGAATAATCTCCTTCTCTCGTACATACTCTAACCTGAACCTCATTGTCCTCATAAAAGCTCTCAACTGTTTGAACTATTCCAAATACGTACATGCAACATCTGCCACACTGCTCTCCTATACTGAGAGGATGTTATATTAGCTAGGATATTTTATAGGATATATTAACAAGGATATTATTATAGGATGTTATTATTTGCTAGGATATTGTAACCATCATGAATATTACAGTATACATAGCAAGGATATTATAAAATTTTTTATTAATAACTAATAGCGCTAAACTCGAATAAGTGGTAGAGCACTAAGAGTGGTGAAGGCTTGATCCTCAGTTCACTGATCACGAGACTGACACGTTGTCAGTCAGTATATATACACTTGTGCTGAGGCAGAAACACAAGAACGTGAATCAACGTTCACGTTAAGTTATATCATCAAATTTGATTATTGAAACATTAAAGTGTAATGAACATTTGTCAGTATCCATACCTACATGGATTAGACGAGCAGCAGATAGTATATTTCGACCTACAACTGAGGTCCTCTTCAGCAGATACACAAGTATGAAAGGGAGGCACAATATTGAGGGTGAAAGGAGCATGGTAGGATCGCGTGAACACTGCAGTATATTATGCTTCCCTCTTATACTTAAGTATTTACAGAAGAGGACCTCAGGTGGAGGCCAAAATATGGAGATAATCTATCGTGCTTGTGTTGTCGTGTAGGTTAGGTCGCTTGTTAAATATTTTATAACTTATCAGATGAAGATCACCTGAGCTGGAGGTGAGGAGGTGTCACCTGCAACAGGAACACACCAATAAGGACGACAGAATTACCAGGAGGATATGAGGGAAAGGATGAGGGAAAGGAAGGATTACCAGGAGGCAGGATGCGAATGGAACGATTACCAGGAGGCAGGATGCAAACGGAAGGATTACCAGGAGGCAGGATGCAAACGGAAGGATTACCAGGAGGCAGGATGCGAACGGAAGGATTACCAGGAGGCGGGATACGAAAGGAAGGCTGAGAGAGACTCAGTATAAACAAGGAAGACCCACTGACCTGTCTTGCCTCCTCCTTCCTCCTTGATGACCTTGGTGGATCAGGAAGCACGTCGCTAAAGGCTCGTCTGTTCAGCATTGTCTGTAAGTTCACAGGAGAAAGAGTGAGTCTGGGAGTGAATAAATGAATTGATAAATGGATTGCATAAGTGTGTGACTGTATACCTGAGTGAGCTACTGGATAAATAAGTGCTATGGTTAGTGACCGTCAGTACATGGGAGTACATGGGAGTACATGGGAGTACATGGGAAAGATAACTAGCAGAGGCTACCTTCCGGGCACTATCCACTTTTACTTGCATTAAGGACTATCGCGCACATTATCTAGGTGTGTGAGACAAGGATAGAAAAGCAGAAGGCTCTCTCACCACCCTCCACCCCCCCCTCCTACCACTGCTGACATGAAAACAGAAATAAAAAATATAACATACCATATCGGGAAAAAAATGGCAAGGAAAGTGCAGAAGAGATGGAACTGAGTTGAAGTTTTTGGTTAACTACTCATGTTACTCTTATGCCATTGACAGAGCTATGCAGTAGTGGTTCTACTTCTGCTCACCATCAGTTCTACTATGACTATCACAACCATCTAAGTGTCTACCACTACTACTATGATTAACTTGGCTGCTTCGCTGCCAAATGATCGTCCTGTTGCAACTGCAACAGGACGATCAATTGGCACAGTTGCCGCTGTGTATGACCGAGTTTAGTGTGAGCTTGATGGGAGGCTGGGTGAGGTAGCGAGTGCCCAAGGCAACATCTCGCTCCTGTCCTCCCTCACCATACCCTGTACCATACCAGTTACTGTAACTTATCAGGTTTTCTGATATATAAAACAATTTGGGCTGACAGCTGTATACTGAGCCTGTGGTTCTGAAGGCTCCAGAAAAACGTTCCCTCTATTAAAATTTACATAAAAACTAGTTAGAAAATAATAAAAAATGGGAAAAAAAGTGAACAGAATAAAGGCTCCAGAAAAACGTTTCCTCTATTAAAATTTACATAAAAACTAGTAAAAAAATAATAAAAATGGGAAAAATGTGAAGAGAATGAAAAATTCAAGAGATTTTATTACAATTTAATAAACAGAGAGAAAGTGAAAGAGAGAAGGTTGTAGTGTATAACATCGGCTCTTCACGGGAGACGCCAGAAATACCTTCAGATTGGTACCCGTCCAACCCAGTTATATTAACACCGGTCTTTAAGGCTCCACGTAACCCTTTTCACCACCAGGAATGAATATTTTCATCCCAAAAATATTGATTAAAGTAAATTCTTGGCAAATATACGCAGAGGGAAATGTATGTATCTCTCTGTGTAACTATCTCAAATACAGATATACTCATCAGAAAATATACAAGTAACATAAACATCGTTTTTGCCCTTGGTATTTATTACTAAACTCCTTACAGCTAGTAATGGGTCATCTGAATGACTCAGACCTGTGTTAGGAAGCACTTACCTTTTTTCTGACTAATAAAATAACAAAAGTCTCTTTAAACACGGGATATTTTCCCTGATGGGCCTATTTCTCTCAGCGCATATACGCCGAAAATACTTTAATTCCTATGGTAGGGCTAAAAGTAGTTTTGTTAGGTGGTGAAAAGATTCCCGGGCAGCCTTAATGACTTAACTGTAGTCAAAAGACATTGAAACCTCCGACGGGCTGGAGTTTTGAGACTCTATGACCGCGGGTTCAATCCCGGCCGGGGGTATGGTTTAAAGTTAATATCAGAATATCACGCACTGGGCGTCCGCGGTTCATTCCCCAGTAAGGGTGGAAACGTTGGGCATGTGTCCTTACACCTGCTGTCCCTGTTCACCTAGCAGTAAGTAGGTACCTGGGTGTTAGACATCCAGGTTAAAAATCCGAACAAATCATATTTGTCTTATCTCCGACAACAAATCGTACAAATAAGGTTTCCTGGTACTGATCAACTAGACTTATGGTGACCGGTTCTTAAATTACCTGTTAAATACACAGTTTTATAAGCTTGTGCAGATTAATCAAGGGAGTATATATGCACTGAGAGGTATATATTTGTCTTTGTTTATGTGCCGAGAGTTAAATCTCTGTTTTAGAGATTCAAGTATTCTTGATTGGTGGTTGATAGTTTACTTTCAGTCTTCACGACGCTTCTTGGATCCAACCTGATTACCTTCCATTCCAGCAGGTGCCATATCTCTTACCAGTCCAGCACTTTCCAGTGAATTTATCACAATTTATATCTATAAGCACTACTGTTCATTTCTTCAACGGCTGTATCGCTTCTCTTGAAACCACTTAACAGTCTGTTGCGACCCTGCCTCTGACTAACCATATTTATTTTTTATCATAATCCTGTTACGTTGGTCTCTCGTTCGTCATTAAGCAAGACAAGTGCCTCCTGACATCGGAGTGTTTAGCTGGTCAGGAAACAGGACAATTAGAAGGTTAATCGGCTGGTTAATTGAGTTTAAAGCCTATCGACTATTCTAAGGATCATTAAGATTTCATGCCACCTGTTCTCCATAAGTCGAGAATACTTTAATATCTTAAATATGGATTACAGTTAACTATCAGCGAATATGCGCAGATACACACTTCTTGGCCTGAGTAAGTCACTGAATTAAGAACCAAAATCAGGTAAGGATGGGAAAAATATTAAGGGACTGAGTATAAAGTAGAAAATATAATGGGGGTTCGACATGTAAGTGGCTCATCTACTTTTGATTTAGTGACTCACGAAATCGTAATGACACGATTGCAAACAAACCATACCACGGGCGGGATTTGTTTGCAATCGTGTCATTACGATTTCGTGAGTCATGTTAACGGCTTTGAGGGGACTTGAGCTAGAGTTCGTCACGGCCACGCTAGCTGGAGATTCGTCTGTAAAAACTTGCATTTGTGGTCACAGAGTTGCCTGTGCTAACCTTCCTATGGTGTAGAAATATACCTGGTTGGATGAATCTTATTGTGGCTAGCTGGTCTAGTGGCTAACGTGACGGTCTGGAGTTTTAAGACTCTCTGACCGCGGGTTCAAATCCCGCCCGTGGTATGGTTTGATTTAGTGAGGCTGTGAGTGTATGTATTTTAGTATGCTAATTCAACATAAACTGCATATTATGGGTATCGCACCTCACAGCTCACCAGCATATTTAGATAATGGTATATATACCAATATTGATAAACATACAATGTTATTTTTTTATTCGTTATCGTGTGGAAGTAATTTGCTGCTCCGGAGTTTTGCTGTCTGACAAGTCGGCTGCGCATGACCCATGTTGATTGTACCAATTGAAACTTGTGTTCTGCCTTTCCTACTGCTGTTTAAGGCTGTTTCATTTGTTTATCACTCTTATGGTAAATTCATATGTTTTTATGTAAGTTGTCTCAGGCATTTTATTACTTTTTGGTTTATTTTACTCTTTGTTGCCGATCTCCTGACATCTCTTCATAGATATCTTTCTTAGTTTAGAAAGATCGAGGGTCGAGATAAGTGACATTTAAATATTTCTCATAATACTTGAATGCTTTTTCGTTTTTTACAGTCCTTTGAGATGTGTCGTTGAGTTAGAAGCGCTCGTGTGTCTCACAGTTCCGTTGTGGTAACCATCATTACTCTCTTTTGCATTCAATATTTAACAATTAGCATCGAGAGAGAAGATAACAGTAGACTCAACATCTTCCTCGTCAGGTGAAGATGTACCATCTGTTGCTGGGGTTGTTGCTGGGGTCACTGATGGGGTTGTTGATGAGGTTATTGATGAGGTTGTTGGTGGGGGTGTTGCTGGGGTCGGTGATGCTGTCTCTATGGTGTGTGTGTGTGTGTGTGTGTGTGTACTGGAGATTGATGCTGTAGGTTATTTGCTGGAGGTTGTATGTCATTGGTAGAATTAAGATATGAGGTTCAATAATTGTCTAATGTTCATGGTACTGGCCTGAGTGCGACAGCTGCCTACCAGCTCACCTCTTAACTATTGTTGGTATTTGAGCAGTGGCTTCACTGATCACTTCGCTGGATGGGTTTCTCAGTGATCTCTTGTTTAGTTGAGAACGGAGCTGGAACCAGCGCGGCCGACGTGGCAGCTACTGCAACACAGACAGCTGATATGTCAAGTAACACCGGAGGGTAAGATAAGTAGTTCATGTGGGAATACTACCGTTACTTTCATCCGTTAATCCACTGTTGTCTGTATCGTGGTACCCAGTCGTGATGTTATGAATTTCGGGTATTTGTTAGAATGTTGTTAATTATTTTGACAGGGAAGATGCTATTGTTATATTTTAGGTCATTTGGAGTTGGGATGTAGCGGTTGTTGTCCTGTCTGCACTCATCTCAGCAATTACTATCATCATTGTTAACTTCGGTTGCCAATCAAATTTCGTTTACGTAAGTGCTTGGTTAACGACCTACATAGAAGTTTACTGATGGTTAACTGCTTTTATTTCAGGTTTCTAAGTCCAAGGATTCAAGCAGGAAGAGCATGACGGCTGAAGGTTTGTTATTTGTGTTGGGTAAGTGAGAAAGGCTGCCGAGGTTAATTAATGGAGCATAGTGTTGGTGATACAGATTGTTTTACTGTGCTAGAGCCTTCTCAAGCTTCTGTATTTCTGCTTCACTCACTGGGCTATTTAAGAGAGACAGCCAGAAAGGTAAAGTTGTGCTGTCGGAGCACAGAGTACATTTGGACGTTGGTTGGTTTGATTCTCGTAGCGGTGCTGTCCTGAACATACACTACACATGTCATTAATGATGGACCATTTATTACTCCTGTGGTCACTAGAAGCATTTGTAGCAATACTTCATTTCCTAGTAACTTTGTCGCCAGATCTGACAGACTGCATCTGAATCCAGAGAAAAGAAAGCCTTTGAACACTATCTGCTGCCTGTCTACTGACTTTGCATAAGCAACTTTAAGAGTTGTACGACTGGTGTTAACATTTTGAATTTAATAAGCCGTGATGACAATTGATTTCTTAATAAGTTCGTATTTACTGCACCTCCTCGCTCGTTCTGTCTAGGCTGGAATATTGATAAACACTAACAGTGCCTGTCAAGGCAGGTGAAATTACTGACGTAGAAAATATATAGAGAA